ACTTTATATTGGAATAGTCAATGACTGTATCAAAGATTTTATTATATAAATATTCATTTTTAGATTCTGGGTAGAATAGCTAAGACAGTATACCAACCACATGAATGAAATTAAGCTTTCCACAATAGTTATAAATCATAGAAAGTCTGTGGAAGACCTTTAAAAAAGGTACACCCAGATATAACAAACAATTTCTTCAATTGTAAAAGTAGAAAAAAGTAAAACATGAAGACCACCAAAATTCAATACATAAACATAGGCATACTTCTTAGATAATAAATGATACTTCTAATATATATATATGTAATATACATATATATATGTTATATATATGTAATATACATATATATATGTTATATATATATATACACACACACACATACATGTAACCTAGATCCAGAGTTTTGGAAATAACATGGTTCATTTAAAGTAAAAAATGTAAGTTTAATGGCAACAAAGCCAGAAACTGTAAGGAAAAGATTTGGTGTCAGATACAAAATGTAAGAAAAAAAAAAAAAAGGCACAGCATACAGAACATAGCTTCTATTCTTCCTACATAATGAGTTCCTTCAAATCAACACAGTAAAGATACATGTTTCAATAATGATATACAGGTTCAAGGAGGAATCACACATGAATGGGGGTGGTGGGTTAAGGAAACTTTGTTTTCACATGTTTCTGACCCCCCCGCCCACCCTTGGTTTGCAATTGTTTTAAAAGCAAACTTGCTAAACATCAAATTCAAGGTCCAGAAAACCTTTAAAACAAAAAGCCTTAATTTAATAGGAATGTAAATTCTTACAAGGCGACTTCATTTTGTGAAATCATTAGGTAGGGAAATATTACTGGTCGGGGGGGATGTACACTCTTTTAGAGAAAGAAAAATTCTTACACAGGTGGTGAGAGTAGAAACATGTCATGTTTTTCCTTATGATATAATCAATAAATGACAAACATACTTAAGAATAATGTGTTTTATGTTGTTTTTGGATGGTTCTTACTACATTAGCCAGCCTAGACTTGAACTCTTAGACTCGAAGGACCCGTCCACTTTTGCCTTCTGAGTAGGTAGGACTGTGGGCAGGTGTCACCGTGCCCAGCTTAAATAAAAGTTAGAAACACAATAGCGTTCAACAATAAAGAACTGGAGACCATATATATCTGCACAGGCACACGGAAAACACTGTGATTTATCCCCAAATGAAAATAAAGTCATAATACAGCACACGTCTCGCTTATAAGTGAGCGAGCGTGTGTGTGTGTGTGTGTGTGTGTGCACGCACGTATGCACATGTCTGCAAAGTCCAGGTAATGGGATTAGGTGTGCAGGAGCTTGATACTGCCAATATTTTTACTGAGTTTTAACTTATATTTAAGTTATACCCCTGTTATATTTTATACCATGTTTATTTTTCTGATTACATAAATGATTCACAGCTTCGAAAAAATAAGCTGTCATTAATGAATAAGCACTACGGGACATCAAGTATACTTTTCACTTGTCTGTTTGTCCACAGATTATGACAATTGTTTTAACCTCATTCCCACAGAACAGCTATGTTCCTTTTCCTTGCTTGTGAACTTTTCCCTCTGCCATGTCAAGATTATTGTGGTATGTTCACAGAATTTATCTGATGGGACTATGTAAGCCATTAATAACCAAACCGAAACTACAGAATCATCTCATTTGCATCTCACAAACCTGCCTCATGTTTCACCTGTTTCAGAAATGAATGACTAGGGTGTGGATTAGGCAACTAAAAAAGCATAGACCTGGGTCTCTTGGGCCAGACTGCTTAGAATTAGACCTGGATCCTCCCTTGGTATATTTACTTATCTTCCTATGCCGAAAGGTCCTCATTTGTGAAATGGAGTTGACAGTAAGACCTAAGGTTGGAGTGAGAATGGTGAATGCTTCTTCTCATCAGTTGTTTTCTTCCCTTGAGGGGGTAGCCCTCTAGGGGAAGACTCCTGACCTCACCATCCCCACCTCAAAAAGCACCATTTCTGGGGTTGGGAGGAGGAAGCTGAATCAGGTAAACAAACAAATGATTTAGTCAGACTAGAAGGTAAAGAGGCTCCTTTCTCCTGCTGCTCTCTCTTAGGAACACATCTGACCGAAGAGAGCAAGTCCTCCCCACTGCCATCAGCCACCATCCAGTGACACAAAGGCCTGAGTGACATCTGCCCAGGTCCAGGCTACAAGTCCTCCCCACTGCCATCAGCCACCATCCAGTAGGACCAAGGCCTGCACCTGACTGACATCTGCCCAG